GACGCAGGTCCACGGTCTCCTTGGTACCCTCCGCCTTCTTCTTGATCGAGCTTGGTGCCTCCACCTTGTCGAAAGTCACGTGGAGATCACGGTGGTCAGGCATGTCCGGCCTCCACCCGAACTTCTGAATGGTGCGGGACTGAACGTTCCTGTCTGGTGTCGGTGGGGCCCGGATTGATGCTACCTTGGTGTTTTTGAAGCCCTCCACCCAGTTGATAGCCCAGAAATCTTGGGCGAGCATGGGGTGGCAAATGTATTGGTAGGGCATGTAGAAGTAGCCCTTGTCACCCCAGCCTTCTCCCCAAGAATTGCGGACAATAAAGCATTCCTTGAAATCGTCATAGCCCACCGCCGTCACGGCATGGCCACCCAGCTGCTGGTCGTTTGCCTGGGGCATCACCATCTTGCCGGTCCTGGCAACCTCCGCAGTCTGGAAGCTGGAGAGGACTGTAAAGCCGAACACGAAGGGATAGCCGCTCTTGATGCACATCTTCATCTGGCTCAAGTCCTGCGCAACACGCGCATAGCCCATCACACGGCACTTCTGGGCGGCCTCATATGCCTTGCGATCTGGCTCTTGCTTGAAGAAGTCGGGGCCGTCGTCATACTTCCAAACCTTCTCGGAACACACGCCCATCCTGGACATGACCTTGATGCCGTCGCGGATCATGGCACCGGCATCCTGACCCACGCTTCCCTCCACTTTGCGCTCGTTGTAGTAGATGAAGAGGCGGCTGGGGGTGAAGTCCGCGAAGTCCTTGTCGTTCTCCACAGTCATCTTGTGCAGGGTGAAGTGGAAGGCCGCCGCCAAGGCATTCGCTGTGCAGCTGCCCAAGTGTCCCTGGTTGAAAATGGGGAAGCCGCCGTTCTGCGGACGCAGGTCCACGGTCTCCTTGGTATCATTGGCCTTCATCTTGATCGAGCTTGGTGCCTCAACCTTGTCGAAAGTCACGTGGAGATCACGGTGGTCAGGCATGTCCGGCTTCCACCCGAACTTCTGAATAGCGCGACTGTCCAACTTGGCCATCGAAGGGTGCTGCTCGGCGACCTGCACCTCATGTTTGTCCGCAACCGTCTGCGTGCCCTGGCAGTTTCCCATTGTTGTCTGAGTCTACCTTGAAACGGACGGGAGATTGGCTTCGACACGAGGTCTGGTGCTTTGCACGGCGAGCTTGAGCCAAAATATGTACGGTTCAGGGTGGATGATGCAGAGCTCAGGGCTTGCACTACGGCTATGGGGTGTAGGGCTTGATTGTCAGTGACATCCTCGCCTCTCTGGGGGTCGGTACTGCGATCCATCCGTTCACGTGCTGTCAGCAGACACACATACTAGTGATACTAGTGCAAGTGCATTCGTTACTTGGGGCTTGCAAACATGCTGGCACATTAGCATCACTGGAGTGTCTGACTCATTCTGGCAATAGCACAAGTTACGGGCAATAGCATGTCTGTCCTCTCTTGCCAGATGTTCTGCGCTGCGGGCAGAACGGACGGACAAGTTACGAAGGACCCACCCTGAACTCTACCCAGTTTACGTGGCAAACCCCTTTCCCAGAGATCTCTGAGGTTCTCCGATTGCTATATTTAGATGATTTTCCGGCCGAGATTCGGTCTTGGTCCACCGCACAGAACTTCTTCTTTTGCTCCTGTGACAACCAGACGAACGAAACCCTGTGCCCCAGAGACAACACATTCTGCTATATATTGCCTTCTGCATCATATGCAAGAAAAAACTCGGACATACTAGGATATACTAGAAGAAACTCGAATGGACTGTGGACTGTCCCTCTCAGAGTTCCTCGGTGTCCAAGAGCTTACGGTTCCGATCGTCACGCTTCCGAGGTATCTTTCCAAGGCCTTCCGTGCCCATTCAGCCTTGCTATGCTCTGTCGACTGGCAGTCGGCTTTAAAGTCCCTGTACCTTCCGTCAATGGTCGGATATTGGCCTTCGCGGATGACATCGCCGAAATTCACTCGAAACTCACTCCAGTCGGCGTTCGAAGGTGCGCAGATCTCTTCATGTGGACAGTTGGCCCAACCAATGTCTTTCCGCGGCTTTAGATGTCAACTTCAAGGCCCACGAGAATTTTCAACCTTGTCCGCTGCAGCACGCTCGGCCGCTGACCTGACCGCCCGCAACTCTTCAGATGCCGTGACGCCAGTATGACATGCATTCCGGACCGTTCAGGGCTTATATGAGGGCTTAGAAATGAGGGGCCGGTCTCTCCTTCAGGAACTCCATGAGCAAGCAGAACTGCTCGAAGCTGAGCATGAGTCCTCCTCCTGAGAATTTTCGGATCCTTAGTCGGGCAGACAGGACATCTCTTTGGGCTCACGCCCTCCACTCCGGGCATCCCTCCTAAATCCCCGAAAGAGCGCAAGGAGCCCTCTTCAAGGGCGCAAGGGCTCGAAATCACTGGAAGACATCCGCGGGCCACTCTATGCAATCTACCGTGTCTGCATCCGGTTCAGAAGGCAAGGAACAAAGCCTCTGCTGTGGTGACGAGGAATGGTCGCGGCACCTTCGGCACAAACCAAAACCAGCGTCGCCTAAACACCTGCAACTTTACGCAGGCCTGCGGTTGACTGTGGCGTGGAAGCGAAGCTCGCCGCGACGGCCCTACTTGCATAATGGCCACGATGATGACGATGATGATGGAAATGAAGGTGATTCATCTGAGACTCTTGCTTGTGAATCCTAACGGTGCTTTTCACTATCCTGGAGATGGGCGTGGTTCTGATCATAGCGATGGCCACGTCTATTATTGTGAGGCTGGCCGCGACGCAGATTATCACTCCTACCTGACTGAAAGGAGGCCCCGGGGCCCCATGAGTAAGGAAACCCAATAAGCTGTATGAGGCCCTTGACTTGCAAAGGGACCCTAATGCAGAACAACTCCGTCCCCAATCTAGAACAACACTCAAACACTACTTGTACATGAAGGCACAAAACTCCGATGAAACCCTTTACAGGGAGCCCAAATCTGCGGCAGCTCCGTCTAAAGCAGGTACTGTGCCACAAACAACACCCAAACACTGAACAAGCACACAACATTGAACCAGAAGCGACGCTGGAGTCCGCTGGGGTAAATCAGCCCCAGCTGACGCCCAACAACCTCTTAGAAAAACCCTCTGGAATCCCGAAACCCAGATCGGATTTACGAACATGCCTCACAAAGGGTCCACAACGGACAACACGGTTCAAAATCGAACTGGAAACAAAGGTGCCGGAAAAATGAGCAAACGGAGAACAAGGACAGCGCCGACCTGAAACATGTTGTTGTAGATCATGGGACCCAAGAAGCCACGGGCATCGAACCCTGTCAGGCCTGCTCCATGAAAGTCTTCGAGGTTTGGGGCTTTTACCCTCAACCCTACAGTAAGGGTTTAGGGTTTACGGTTTAGGGTTTAAGGTTTATAAGCCCTAGGCGGCTCTTGTTTCGATGATGGTCATCGTTTAGGACTAGGGTTTAGGATTGTGAGCTTCGCATGTTTTTTCGACTGTCAGACTGTTTGGCGTACCGGATACAAGCGACATGCAAACGACTATCGATGTTCTAGCAGCTACTAGCAGCAGTTGTAGTCGTAGTGATGGCAGTAGCAGCAGCAACAGCCGTAGTTCGGAGTAGCACCCGTAGCCGTGTCAGCTGCAGCAGCAGCAGCACAGGAGCTGCAGCAGGAGCTGCAGCAGGAGCAGCAGCAGTAGCAGTGGAAGTAGCAGTACAGTAGCAGTAGCAGTCTAGAGAACGTTATTTTGACCATCGTCTGTTGCAAGGCTTACTTTGTAGAAACACGAGGCCATGCCTCCTTTCTCTGCATTGCCCGTTGACAGCTGTGCTGCGCACAAGCAGGGGGCGATGCAAACAAAGCCTTCAGAAAACACACATGCTCCACAAATGAGATGGCAGAAAAGCACGGACAGCTTCTGCCCCGAAGCCGCCGTTCTGCTGAAACGGTCCAAGGGAAGATGTTTCGCATATCCGGATACCCCAGGTTATGCAAAGGAGACGAAGTGGGGCATGCGGCAGGCTGGCCTACGGCTGCTGGATGCATGGCGAGGTCGCTGAGAGGATCGAGTGACCTCAAAAAGCTGCTCTAGGGTTGCGACCCGCTGATTTGAGATTTCGACTCTCACGTCCCAGGTGCCTGAATTGTGTGCGCGCGTGGGGTCGTAGTGCAGTAGTGCATGAAGATGCTCTGAGCTCCTTTCTCTTGATCATGCAGCCGTGGATTCGAAACCTGTCGCTAGACAGGCCTGGCAGCTCTGCGGTTGTCCATGAATTCGATCCTGCAGGAAAACCTGCTCCCGACATGAGCAGTGAGGGGAGCCCAAGAAGTTTCAAGACGCAGTTTCTGCGTTCAGCTGTACATGTGATACCTGTGTTCCCACATACCTACGCCAGTGTCACTGGCGCTAACGTCTTGTACGAAAAGACTAGGAATGCTTCGACTCCGACATGTCCTTATGGCGATGAAAGCTCTGCAGCAAACCATGATGTCTGATCGTTACTTCGACCATACTAGACTCTAGACTGCTAAACACTGAGTGCTGAGCACCTGGCTCCTGTCTCACATGCGATCCAGCCCTGGCTCAGCTGGAAATGCGCAGGCGGACTTTGAGCGTGCGCGTCTTCTCAGACCACCTCGCTCCGGGGCTGGCGAGGATGTCGATGCCGCAGGGCAGCTCCAGCTCCAGCATCTCCTTCTGGCCGAGCATGGAGAGGCGAAGGCTGCGCTCAGAGGTGGACATGTCCAATGATGCCAAGCTAATCGGAGGCCCAGGCTGGCAAACTACCAGCACCCGCAGCTCCAACTCCTCTTGCTCGATGTCTGCTGATGCAACCCAGGAAGGAAGGCAGGACGACGAGGACGAGGATGTGGGCGCTGGCACATCTTCGTAGCCAGCTGTGGCTTGCACTGTTGAGCTTGGAGCACAGTCCTCCGCTGACTCCGCCACAACCAGAGAGCACACGTCCTCCTGCCCCCGCCCGCTTCGAACATACCATCGGCTCCGACGTCTCAGAGCCAATGGATGGGGTGCCGTATCCGGACAGCGCGCCAGAAAGGGCGCGGCTAGGGTCGAAGTATTCAAGGCATCGGTAACACCCCAGTTCCCACCTCTGAACCACAGAAAACGTTCACCAGACGCGTGCTCCACTCGGCGGTACACTGGCCGCTGGTTCTGCGCCTCCCCGTGCTGCAGCAGATACCGTCCGTCTATGTCTGCATGGTGCCCTGATAGAAACACCTCCTTCGGGGCCTCCGCCAAGAGTGCCGCCAAGGTCTTCGCCGCCTCCTCCTCTTCGGCGACACGCTTCTGCTCAGGCAGCTCCTGGTCCTCTGCAAGAGGAACCTCCGGTGTTAGTTCAGGTGCAGCCTCCTCCTTGGCCTTCTGCTCCTCGCCCTTGGCTTCCGTGGTCGGCGGGGCCTTCCGGGTGGCCGTGAAGCGTCGAGGGCCGCTCCACTGGTCCTGCTCTGGCATGTCAGGCGGAGGGATAAACTCCAGTACCACGACATCACTCCCAGGCTCATAGGACAAGTTGAGCACCATGCCGGAGATCATCTCTACCTCCCCACGCCAACGAAGCTTGCTCTTTTGCATCAGCTCAATCTTCATGGTGTCCTCCTTGAAGACCAGCGCCCCCCATGGTTCGAGCTTGATCTCGAAAGTGCTGCCTGGAGACTCCCACCATCCAACAAGCCGCTTCTCGTAGTCGTCCTGTGCGACTTTCCTCTGCTCGGGCTTCGACGCAGACCAGACCTTCTCCGGCAGCTTCTCGGAGATCTGCTCGGCCAACTTCCAGAGCTCGACAGTGAAGGCCTCGCGCTCGCTCGCAGCCTGGGTTTTGAGCGAAAGCAGGGCCTGGTCCACCGTTGCCGCTGCCTCGGTCCAGTCCCGAAGGCCCAGCTGTGCTTTGGCGAGGCGATGCTGCGACTTCAGGGACGCCGGGTCGTCCTCCAAGGCCGCCCTGGCCAGTGCCGCAGCTTCCGGCCACCGCTGGCCTGAGAGCTCCACTTGCGCTGCATTGGACCTCAGCAGCCCACGCTGCTTCGTCAACTCTGCGGCCTGCTCCGGCACCATGGCCAGCCCGGTCTCCAGACACTTGGAAAGTGTGCGTATGGCCTCAGCATAAAGCTCTACTGCCTGCAAGAGGTGTTGCTTCGAGGCCGCATTGCCCGGGAGCTGGCCCTGCCGGAAAGCATCGTTGCCCTGCAGCCTCAGCTCCTCTGCCATTTGCAATGCCTCATTAGCACGCTGTTGCTGTTCCTGGCGCTGAGTCTCGCGCACCTCGCGCATCGTCTTTTCTCGCTGGAGTCGTCGCTCACGAACCTCGAGGTCTTCGTTGGCTTCCGTCCAGAGGCGCTTGGCTTCAGCGGCAGCAAACCGGAGCCACCCTGCAACACCACGCTGTGACTCGCACTTCTGCAAGAGGTCTTCCAAGCACCGAATCTCCGTGTCCTGGAGGTTTGCCTGGCCTGCCTTCACCAGGCCACAAAGCTGAGTTGCAGCCTCTTCGAGAAGCTCCTGGCCCAATGTTCCGGAGGGGATTTGGCTCTCCATCAGCGCCAAGTAGCACCTGGCCGCCTGCGGCATGTTGCGAGCGATACCTGGCTCGAAGCCGCTTTCGTAAAGCGAAGCCACAGTCAGCAGAGCAGGCGCATAGCCGAAGCCATCCTCCTCCACTGGCTTTGCCAGTTCCAGCAGCAGTGAGAGCGCTTCCTGGCAATCCTCCTCGCTCACAGCTCGTGCGCAGAGGAGCCGCTGAGCCTCTACCAGTCGCTCCAAAGCCGCCGGGTCCGCCGGTCGTGGCAAGCGATTCACCGTCTCCATGGAGCTGGGGAGCGTGGGAAGGTTTAAGGTTTGGAGAGAAAGGGGTCGTGACAGAAGCTGTGCTGAACTTGCCGTAATTAAGCCCTCTGTTGCAGATGTGCTGCCCCGGAAGGACAAGCCCAAACGGCCACCTTGAGCCAATGGCTATTTAAGATTTAGGCTAAGGGTCTCCGATTCACTGTCGAAAGCGGAGCTCTTGTGGAGATGACCTGTGCCCATGAATTCACATAACATATCTTAAGTCCCCCACTTCTTGATCGACTCCATGATGGTCATCCTCGGCATTGCAGGATTGATGTGCGGACTCTTGGAAACTAGGAACTAGAATTAACTAGAACATAAACCACCCCCTTTCAACCCTAACACACTTTTTTCTTTCGTCAGGGCTAAAACCCTAAACCCTAAACCCTGACCCCAAACCCTCAACCCTAACCTGCCGGTCAAGCTGCAGCTGCTGTGGGGAGATGGCATTCGCACCTTGCGGGACGTTGTTGCTCCACGCATCCAGGTACGAATCCCACTCCTTGGCTGGCTTTCTCCGTACTGCGCCCAATGAAACGCCGCCGACGACGGTGATGCTGATGATGAAACTGACAATAAACATGATGGTGATGATGACAATCATGCTGATTCTGATGATGAAGGCTATCTTTGCTGGCTCGCTTCGACCACCAATGTTCTGGCTGTTGCAGCTCGTGATTTCCTAGGGGAATGCACTCATTTGCTTCATCAGCTTGTTTAGATGACCAGTATGAAAACTCGCCGTGTCGCGATAGCAAAAAGCCTTGGGGGTGTAATGGCTATGCTCGTCGTGGTGGTGACCATGCCGTTGGTGGAGCTGCACTTGTGGTTTTGTTGTGATCAAGGGCTCAGCAAGAAAATGAAAGCTCGCCTTCCAAGTTCATGCAGAAGCTAGTTCGCTTTCCGCGGGCCTTGCAGCTACCGCTGCCGTGTATCGTGGCCGCTCTGGAACCAAGCGTGTAAGTAAGTCTTGAACGGCCGTAAGGGCACATGATGAAGACCACCAAGAATCCAGGCGGAGTTGCACAAACCTGGGCTTCAGGCCACAAGAGAAGCAGAATGTGGGAAAACGAATTGCGACTCCGAGAAAGCCAAGAATTCAACATCCTACTGTGGTTCATGAGTTAACTGGCCTACCTACCCTAGGTTGTTTCTATTACCCTAGACCCTTCTTGCAACTGGCCTGCAATCTCACGCCAGGACAGCTGACTCCTTCCAGGCTGCACTCGCGGCAGCAGGGACTAAGAGGCTGCTGCAACGGAAATGCCCTAAACCAGTTCACATCAAGCGCTCAGAGTCTTGTGCTTTTCGCCGGATTCTGGGCACCCAGCTCATCGAAAGTGAGCACTCCATTCTTGTCCTCGGCTCGGAGCCCCATATGACGGTAGGGTTTAGGGTTTAGGGTGTAGGGTTTAGGTGCTAGGGGTTTAGGTTTTAGGGTTTTTGGTTTAGGCTTGCGCCGGGTTGCAAGTGCGATGGTCAGACTTCCAGCTCAACCCTATATGTCTTTTCTGTGATCTTCCATAGCTCCACTCGAACACGTTCTATGAAAGTACCGGTTGGTCATGGTTGGTCCTTCTGGCTGCATTGAAAACCATAGAATGAAATCCAACGAGGGCGACCATGCCCAAATCCCATCAACCTGAAACCCCCGTGCTGCCGAAGGTCTGCATCATAAGCTTGGCCGATCTTGTTGGCAACCTCATGGAGCAGGGCTTCATCCATGAGCTTCTTCTGAAAAGATGTGAACAGTAGGGTTGGCCGGGTCATATGGAATGTCTTCTGCAAAACGAGCCTCCCACCTAGAACCCGAGAAGAGCCGCAGACACTGGAATCCAACTCCCAACCCCAAGCCCTTTGCGCGCCAGCTGTTATTGCGGCACTGAGCCACTCCGGCCCTGTACTCCCAACAAGAACCCTTGAAAGCCCGCTCGTAGGATTCGGCAGGCTTGCAGCACCCATTCCCTGCTCTGAGCATGCATGTCAGGTGGCTGCCAAGCTGAGTGCGGAGTCTCCACCTTTGCTTCACAGACCGGCTCTCTGCCCTACTTTCAGCAAAAACGAACCTTCGAAACGATCGTACCAGCCACTAGTATCCACTGTCGAGGTGTCCAGCGGCTTCATATGAAGATTCTTGCTTCCAACTATTGACTGCCACGGCGACAACACTGCTCCGGGCCCCACGCCGTCCATGGTGCCAGTGACCTGACGATTTCATGCTTTGTGCTTGGGGCTGAAGACAAGCCCAAACTCTGCAAAAGTCCTAAGCCCTGGAACATCCTAAACCCTAGGAAACCCTAAGATATCAAGAATATAGAGGCCTAGATTCTGGGCCTAGATGCTTAGAATGCGGTCAAGGGGTGTGTTTTTTAGCACTCACTCCCGACAAGCAGGGGTGCATTACAGTATAATGATGTGGGAACTACGCGTTGCGAAAGGCACCGCCAATCACCAACAGGCACCACCACCACCACCACCACCACCACCAGTCCAATCCCCAAGTGTACGCTCTGCACCGGCCGGTTTCCATGACAGTGACATTTGCAGGAACTTCAGTGGCAAACCATCAGAATCCGAGCATGTAGACACCAAGTAGCTGCCCTGTGGACAACACACAGCCAATAACAGCAGAAAGCACGACAGTGCTAGATGCCAGTTGATGCAACGCAAACACGCAAGCAAGGTGTTGTCACTGCAGTCTTTCCTGTCGCCAAATGTATGCTGATCACAGTCGGTATGGTGGGTTTCTTAACTTTGGGAAGAAGCTAGCATTCCCCAAGTGTGCGCACCCCGGCGGTTATCGACGCCTCAGGGCAACGTCTCAGTACTTGTCCAGACCGTGTCCCTAAACCCTTCGGGGGGCATCCATACCGCAAGCCTCAATCCCTAAGGTATGGGTAGTTCTCTAAACAAGGTCCCCTTGTAGGAACCCAAAAAAAGAGACCAGAACGGTAGTTCAAATTTAGAGAACTACCTGCATGAAGAAACGGTTGAAACAATGTAGGGGCCTTAATAATTAGAATAGGGTTTTGGGAGTTCCTTCTTGTAAATAATTATAGTACAATATACCCGAAAAACCGCATTCCAACTTCTAACTATTAAGGTCCCTACATCAGTCCAATCCTACTGAGATCCCCGCGTTGAACCCCGAGAGCTTCAACGCTCGACTCAGCTCCGCCACGGAGATGTCCCCCGTCCTGCTATGGGAGCTCTAAACAGGGGTTAAGGGCTCTATTGGGGTTTAGGGTTTAGGGTTTAAGGGCTCTACAAGGGTTCTATAAGGGCTCTAAACAGGGCTCTAGAAGGGCTCTATAAGGGCTTCAGAGGGGTTGTAGAAGGACAAGCGTTCTATATGGGCTTCAGAAGGGTTCGATGAAGGCTTTGAAAGGGTTCTACTCTATAAGGGCTTTCAGGTTCTCTGGGCTCTGTATGGGTAGCAGTAGGGCCAGTAGGGCTCATGGATATTTCCTAGGATGCTCGTGCCGAGCGACTCTGCCAAACCCTCTATTATCTGCTGCAGAACTTACAGGGGCGGCAGTTTCAGGAGGGTTTTGGGATTCAAGATTGGAGGAGGGTAGTTTTACGGGCTTGCGCATGTCGAGCTTCTAGCCGTGGTGGATCCTCCCGAGCGTGCAAAACTTTGTCCTAAGCAGTCTGTTTCTTGGTCGCTTCTGGGAAACCTGACCCCATGCTCTCTTCGGAGGCGGGTTGAGGGAAGAGCTACTGCCAAACATGTTGCAAAGACAAGACCCTCTGAACGCCCAAGACGTGGCAGTGCTGGAGGCTCGCAGAAGAAGCCTTGAACCACAGCTTCGTGCTTCAGTATCCAGGTTCGTGTTCAAAGTCGCAGTTGGGAGTTTCCGAAAATTAGGGGGTACCTTATTTAGGGGTCCTTACAAGAAGGATCCTATTATTTAGGGTACTATATTAGGGTCCCCTATTTTCGGAACCCCCCATTTAACACGACGCCCGTCCCCGGCCTGTCGGTGTCAATCTGGCCGAAGATCGTCTTCACGCTTTCCAGATACTGGCCACACGCACACACCGGTTTAGGGTTTAGGGTTTAGGGTTTAGGGTTTAGGGTTTAGGGTTTAGGGTTTAGGGTTTAGGGTCTCCGGCACAGCAGGCGAGAAAGTGAGTAGCAAGCATCGGGCTGCGGCTACAGCACATAGCCCCCAACATTGAGGGATCTCAAATCTGAAAGCGCTGGTCAAAACTCAGAAATTTCCACCTCAGACCGGAACCTGGTGGCCTGCCCGTTCAAACACTACTGTACTGAGGTGCTCCAAATCAAGATGGCAAAAGGCAACTGTACGATGGCCTGCAGCATTTCCTCAGATCAACTTCGGCAAAGGGAACGGAGGAGGGCAACAGGGAGTTAGACGTTTCTTTATTTGCCACAGAACCTAAAGAAAGCAACCACTGATCCCTGGCCGTCGCGTGCTGCCAGAGTGAGATTTTTCATCCGAACCCATTCAACCTCAAGACCAGAGTGCCGCGAGTCCATGCCACCGCACACAAAAGCCAACCATGATGATCCAGTAACCGTGTAACGACGCAGCTCACACCGAAACCGAAAACAAACTGGAAGGGCCGTAAGAACTCACAGCAAATCTCGACGGAAGCAAAATGAGAACTATGTCAAAAAGAAGCAAAAAAAACAAGCAAACTCCTCCTTCTGTGCGGCCGAGAGGCGCAGAACTCCTGAAGCCGAATCTGGCCTCCTCCCTGGCCCGCGTATTTCGCAGCGAGCCAGAGCACCTAAGCTGCCGCGGAGAGTTTAGGGGTTTCGGGTTTAGGGATGTTTAGGCGTTCAGGGTTCAGGGTTCAGGCTTTAAGGGGTTCGCGGGTTCAGGGGCGGCCGTCGCGATGCTTCCTTGAAGCAATCGGGTTTCCCCTTGTCCGCTCCGGGTCTAAATTGTCTGAATCGGTGTTCCCGGTGCGAACTAACCCTAAAGCCTAAACTACAACCCTTGGACCCTAAACTCAGAACCCTAAACCCTAGACCGTAAACTTTGTAAACTAAACACCCTAAACACGCTGACTCGAAAGGAAGGGGAATCTCGAACTCGCCGATGTCGTTGTCTTCCTCACCTGACGCGGTAGTTTAAGGTTTCGGGTTTCGACTCCCACACTCGCTCGAAGCAGGCACGGATTCCAGCAAGCGAGACCAAGCAACATGGGCGACCAGACGAAAGCAAACACCGGGCAATAATATGTAAGAACCTAACACCATAAACACACCCGACTGTGCCCGCGTCACCCATTAGCCCATGATGCAAAGCTCTCTCAGAAGGCTCCGTAGGGCTATGACATGAGTGGACTCATCCGCAATTCACGACAGCAAATAAATGCTTGCAGCACGTGCCGCTTACCAGCATAAGTTCAAAGGAAGCTTTGTAGTGGGTTCAAGCAGCTACGCGGATGAACATAGTGAATTCAAGGGGATATAGCTGTCGCCAGTAGTCATGTAAGCTTGGAGAATTGCAGGCTTGCACACATTCCTAGGAATTAACGAATGCTGCAAAGCCAGACTTCCCTCCACGGTCATGGGTTTAGGGTTCACGCGCTCGCAACTCGGTCACTGCCAGACGAGGGCTTAGCGTCTTTTACCCTACACAAATCCAACGGACTGGGAGATACTTTCGATCCAGGCGGGGCTGTGGTTCAGGGATGTTTAGGGTTTCGACTCTCACACTCGCGCAAGGCCGGCAAGGCTCCGCATGTTTAGGGTTTTTAGGCTTTGCCTGGTTTTTTTTTCGGTTTGGTGGACTAGCCCTGGATCCTTGCGGAAGTCGAAAGCCCCCTTTTTCCTGGCTCTGCCGGGGCGTTTCTCGTCCGGACCAAACCCAGCTGCAAAGTCAGGCTTCGGAGCTTGGAAGCGGGGGGGGTGGGGGGGCTTTTGTTCGAGCCCAGGGCTTCAAGGGGGTTGGGGGCTTCCCGCTAACCCCCTGAACCCTGAGTTCTTGAACATGGCAGCATGCAGGACTAGGGGCGCTCGGACTTGGCCCAGGCCAGAGCGAGGAAGAATGACAAGGAGACAGCTGCGGCCACACATCCGATGAGATAGTAAGTATACGTGTCGATCCGCACGGCGAGCTGGCCATAGACGGAGTGCATGACACCAAGAATCACAAATAGAATCCCCATCCAGAAGCCCATTTCTTGCTTTCCGAAGATCATGCAGATCGCCGAAGCAAAGAGGGAGAACATACCACCAAATGAAAATCCGATCAAGTAGGTGGCCAGCCTCCAGCTCTCGCTGTACATGAGCACCAGGAAGCCCATGATGGAGAAACTTATTGAGGAGCACAAAGACAAGTAGAGCCCTGCCTCTCCAAAGCCGCACTTCACCCGCAAAAGATCTGCTCCAAAGCCATGGGCAAAGCGGCTTGCCATGCCACAGATACCGTTCCAAAGGATCACCGTCGCTCTTTCCTGCGGGGTCGCTGGTGGATGCGCCCTTTTTGACGCAGCGGCGAGGCCGCCAGTGAGGTAGGTGTAGGTAAAGGCCATTGACAAAGCCACAAAGAAGAACATCGACACGGCAGGAGGCTCCTTCAGCTTCTGCCTGCGTGACGCTCCCAGGGACCTCCCTCCCTCCTTTGCCGGTGGCAGCAGCGGCACAAGGCAGAGGCCCAGCACCGTCGCAACCGCGTAGATGATGGCGAGGAACAAGAAGAAGTGCGAGACGGGTTTCAGGTTGGCCAAGAGCCGCGTCTTGGGATTGAAGTTTTCATCATCAGGTGCTGGCATGAAAACACTTCGCCAAGCCAAGGGCAACAAAATGTAGCCGAGTGAGACGGAAATGGCCAAGAGTGCAGCCACGGAGCCCGTGTATTGCGGAGGCAGGGCACGCAACGCCGCACAGGTTCCTGCCAAGTACATGCACCGGCAGCCATGGCTTAACACCGCAAAAGCCAGGCAAAGAGTGAGTGAACTCGGATCATCCTTGGCTCCTCCGTCTTGAAGCGTTGCAAACCACAGTAAGGCACCACAGCATGAGAAGATTCCACCGTAGCAAAGTGTGGTCACGTAGCCAAAGCGATCATAAATAATTCCCGGGACGAAGCCGAAGACCATTCCTCCGACGAGTGCGCTACTCACGATGGCCTGGCTCTGTGAAGGTGAAAGCTCAAGATTTGACGCCAGACTTGGCTTGAAGAGGTTGTAGCTCATGGCTGGGACACTGAACAGCACCAGCGAGCAGCAAACCAGCAGAACTAGTATGTCTCTGCCGCCCAGCTGATCCTCCGTCCGCTGCTCCTCCTGTTCCACCTCCAGAGGGACCACTTGTAAGCCATGCTGTTCCTCCATGACATGCTAACAGGCCTTGAACTTAAACCCTCTTGAAGCAAACGACTAAGGCTTCTTGAACCTGTGCCTGCAGCTTCAAGCATGATCACTTTGGTCGCCTAAAACCCTTCGAAGATGCAGGGTTCATTAAAGAGGCCAGGGCTTTCGATGTTCATATACTCCATCAGGTCAGCGAAATTCGAAAAGACATCGTTACCCAGCACCCTAAAATACGTACCACAAAACTTCAAGCAAGGTGTCATCATACTCCATGCGAGAGTTCAATTGCTTCATGTCCTCGTCTTTGCTGCCACAGGTTTGCCTAAAGGTGACATTCACAATGGTGATGTTGTCTGTCTGCCTCAATGGTTTCACGATGCTTGTGCGCCGCAATAAACCTCTTCATGCCCATTATCTCCCTGTGCGCTTCATCCTTCACCCTGCGCAAATCAACCAAGCCCCTTCGTAGGTCGGCCACGCGCCTATTCCACCACTCTTTCACTTCGTCATGCACAACTTTGGGTGACCTCGTGTTCATTCTTCTGTGCAATCTGACAAAGATTCTTGTGGGTCTTCTGACAAAGGGTCTTCTTCGCCCACTTCTTCAGCACAGGCACCATAGGTGCAACCCTCTTCATCGTCATTGTCGTCGTCGTCATCATCGTCATGATTGTCGTCTGGGTCGTCACGAAAGGGTGCCCTTGTCTTCTCCTTGTTGACCGTACGCCCTTTGTCATTTGCAAAGCCAACAGACCAAGAAGCGGCGATTTCCTTCAGTGCTGTGCCAACAGATGTCGTCTTGCTGGAGCTTGCCATGGTTTGGGGGTGCCAACATATGCCACATCTGCATAAAGCTATATTGTCAAAGCCAAAACTTAATGCAAGTTTTTCTCAAGGTGCAGTCACATGCAACAGCTGACGGCAAAGCCCTTGCGAGCTCCCATGCAATCAGAAACCAAGCATGTCAGAGGTGCCTTCTGGATGTTGAAGAGCTCGCTCACGAAAAATCGGAAGAGATTGACGTCCAGTTCAGGGATAGGATGTTGGTTAAGGGCTTCCGTTTTGTTAGGTGAGGTGGGGTTAGGCTTATTGAGGATTTGGTACAGTAGGGGTTGGTTGTTAGGATTCGGTATAGGTTCATGGGACGAATGCTATGTAGGCTTAGTTTGGTAGGGGTTGGTTGTAGTGGTTTTGTAAAGGATGTTGGCTAGGGTTTTTGAGTAGTTGGTAGGTGTTAGTTTTTCGAGATTGTGCATAGGTGCTGGTTAGGATATTTGCTAAGATCTTAGGGCGAGCGGTGTCTGGGATATATGGATAGTATTTTTGTTTTAAGGTCTTAGGGCTGCGTGTGTATAGGATATGTCGGAGGTATGTAAGCTATGCTGGGAAGGCCTTTGTTGAAATCTTTAGGTGGGTGGGTTTTGGTACGATGGTGGGACGGTAGTCCGCGAAATGGTGCATCACGCCTGCTAGCCGTCAGCCCCCCTTCATTACACAAAAGTTCACAGCTGGTGGGCGGAAATGACTGGTATCGAACTCACCACAGTCCCCGGTTCCGAGGACTGCTCAACCCTGAAGGCTTGTCTAGGGACGGCTATCAGCATTCTTGGCTCCTAGATTCATGAGGATTCGCGGCTAGATGAATTGGTTTGTGCCCGAACCTTCTGACCTCAACCCCAAGCCCACGCTCAGCTCGGAACCGCATTTGCGTTGAAGGGCGCCTGGAACATGGCCTGTTGCGTTCCCGACTCCTCGGCTCGGCAAAGGCATGAAACGGAAACGCCCTTGGTGTCTCCTGGAGTGTCTCCACGAGGCTCGAGGGCATAAGGCACCCTGAGCTACGACGAGCACAACGAGTCACAACGAGCACGTCCGAGGGCTTTCTGTTCACTATCCGCCCATCTAACTTTAAAAGCTGCACTATCAACGTGTCTACCAAGAAACAGAGCCAGTTGATTGCGGTTCCTACGCTTCACCTGAGGGATCCTGAGGGCAAGCGGAGATGAGGAAGCAAGCCCTGCTTGGAGATGGCCAGGGGACTTCGTAAGTGCGTTCTATCTGGGTTTTACGATCTTTAAGCGGGCTTGTGCTGGGTGACCCGGTATCGCAACCCGCGACGATTGCAACCATGTTATGTCATGACCCTCCATCCCTGCTTGTGTACGTTTCCTTTTTCTACCGGCGGCAGAGCTTGCGGGCTGGTCCACCACTTGCCTGCTGCGTGATGCTGCTTGCCTACACTGTACACTGTGCACATGGCCCCTGAAACTGAAGGCCTTCGCGAGCAAGGCATCAGGCATTGACCTTCCCAACGGGAAATCAGAGGGCAGACAAGCCGTGGTAAATCGTCCAAACCATCGTTGCTCCTGTCCCTGGCTGTCGCGTGACGCCACACAGCACAGTTGTCGTGTGGTCCGAGAGGGCGAGCCCGGCGTGTTCAATCTGCACTGTCCTTGGAAACGATCAGTCAGAGGAGAAGGCTTCCATGCGCCAGGTGAAGTTGTACTGACAGATAACATTGAAAATCATTTAAACCTAACAAACCTAACACAACATGTGAAACATACAGCCATTACATACCGCTATGTTGCCAAGTGCCCAGACACACTGACATGCTGCAGCAGCCAATGGTGTAGACGTGCGTGTACGTATGCATGTTTGTCTGCATCTGCCATGCGAATCATACATAACCACATGCAAACAATCAGCTCAACAATTCACTTCAAAGCTTGCCCTGAACAGCGGAGCCCCACCTGGGGAAGTTCCACTGGAACACTCGGCCTGGTACAGAACTCCGATTCATCCACCATACATGTGCCGACTGCCCTGAGCTCTAAGACCCCCAAAGGCCAGAAATAAAGAGCCCAGGCTTCAGCGTCGAGGTGATGCCGTTCTGCTCCTGAGGTGCGGGGCCAGGGGATGCTTGAATGCGCATGTAGCAAGCATGTAATATCAATGAATTAGTGTATTTTTATATGTACGTGCGTGTATGCATGTATGCATGTATGCATGTATATATGATGTATGTACGTATGTATGTATATGTGTGTTACATGCATACATGCAAACACTTGTCGTGCTATACTTCCTCACAGCATCGGCTACTATATTTTATTCTGGTGGCCGTACAGACACCCTCTGGTGCCATCCTGAAGCGCCTAGCCACACACACGCACACACACACACACACACACACGCACACTTTGGCTCAGCACGAGTGATTGCGACGAGCGGCCGACAAGACAAGACGATGAAAACACAGAAGAGCACGACATGAGATGACGATTGATTTTAATTTTGGTGCGTAGGCAGCATGCCATGCCAAAACTGATGATCCCTTTTGGTAGGGTTCTGCCCCGGTGTGATAGACTCAAGGAATGACACACCAAATGAGATATAAAAAGTCAAACTCATCCCCCAGCTGCCCAGGGCGGATGCATACAGGTACGCTTTCCTGGAGTGCGGAGGGGAGCTTCGTTTGACAGAGCACTTTCTCTGTCCATCTGCACAGAAACTGGCTTCAGGAAAGAGCAAAGCAGAGCAGTCCAGGCGTTTACGCGCACACACACACATGCATAACACAAATGCAAAACAGATTTTGTGTGTATATATATATATATATATATATCCCTGCTAAAACTCGCGGGAGGGGCACAAGACTAGAATCATCGTCGCTTCCGACATAAGCTGCCGCTTCAAAGCATGATTTTCGTAGGTGTAAAGAAGGGCTCGAAACAGAGCACAACTTACAACAATCCCACCTGACTTGAAATCCCTGCCGGAGAGCGCCAGCATGGTGGAAGCTCGTCCCCTCCCGTGCCAGGGCTGCCAGCGAGACCTGAACAACTCGCCTAAGTACTTGCGGATCATCAGGTAAATCAAGTTGCCCTAAACTCCAAGCTCAAGGCCCAGTCTCGGAAGGACTTAGATATCGGATCTGAGTAGGAATCCGACGATACCTCATCATTGAATGCCCCGCAACGAACCCTCCTCTCTCAGCGCACCTCGTAGCGCTCGAAGATGAAACCACTGGAGGCCATGAAGTTGTTCAAGGCCTCCAATGAGCACAGGGCTCTTGCATTATTTATGGCTTTCGAGTCCGAAAAGAGGGGACAGAACCCTCTGCACAAAAACTTCACATGCCACATGAGCTCCGGGCCGCACAGAAAAGTGGAGACGTCCGCTTGTGTACATTAGTACCCATAACATGTGACCGGACAGAGAATGGAGGCGGAGAGCTTGTGCATCTGCCTACTTACATGAACGAAATCATAAATGGTGGTACCCGCGATTGGTGCATACAGGGTCGTGTACCTGCGTAAATTTACGCATGCACCTACATGCATACACACACATAAGATAGATCGATAGATAGATGGATGGATGGATGGATGGATAGATAGATAAATAGATAGATAGACAGATAGCCGGATAGATGGATAGATGGATAGATGGATAGACGGATAGATGGATAGATAGATAGATAGATAGTCAGATAGATAGATAGATAGAGATTACCCACACTCGCCAAAACAGTGCTTCAGCGAGAAAACACACGATGCCGGGCTGCTAAGCCTCAAGGTAGCTCTCGTACGCTTCCAAAGCATTTCGCGAAAAAACTAGACCCCTTCACACATGCTCACCCCAGACTCCAAAGCACAAGACTGAAAGATCGGCCTCGAACTGGCTCTCCTCAAGAATCCAGCTGCTCCTGTTTCCGTCCATTTCGATCCATTGAACACATTTCCTGTCCGGTCAGATTTGCTGTGAGCGAACGGCTCAGATAGGAATCGGAGGCAAGCTGGTCTTGTAGGGATACTCTGCCTAGACTCTCGTAGTGGTGAAGGCACCGTCTAGGAAAGATGACGATGAATTCGCAAGCCATCACGACCTAAATGCGAACTCTGTGTTCACGAGCCTCATCGTGAAAACAGAAAGTATTGACATAGAACGGTTGCTCAAGCAACGGCCAGAGCCAAAACCGAATACCGGAGCAGAAAGCCTACATTGTGGAAAGAATCAAGCACCAGCAACTCCTCTAAAATTCTGCAGAATGTTGACCACCAGCTACTGTTGTCTGCATTCTCATGCACCAAGACTTCGTGAGCAAGTAGGTCATCAGTTGATGAAACAGGCTTAGAAACACCTTTAAGTACCCGAGGGTACGTGCGTTTGTATACGTAAAGGTACATGTAAATGCACAAATGCACCTGCTGACCAACACTTACTTGCCTCACTTGTCAACCTGCCTGGCAGGCTGGACTTCGAGCGCCCCCCGCGCCAAGCAGCGTGCGGGCTTGTCATCCACGAAGATGGCGAGTGTCTCTGCGGTGTCCTGCAGCCCTTATGCTATACCGCTGCTGTTTGTTTATTCGTTTTCATTTTGCTGTAACTGGCTCCTTTACCAAAGTCAAGCTCGCGCAACGACCCGACTGCTCGCTGCGAGCAGTAAACGTGAGCATGCAGTCCTTAGTTGGAAGTGGGGACTATGCTGGGCACTGCGTTATCCTACCCGTCTTTGACGGAAGCCTTTGGCATGAGGAAGACAAATGAGTGCACCCGGGCCACCGACACCACCACGGCGGAAGCCCGGTACTGCTGCAGAAGCTCCAGCCACAGGGCCTACTCTTGAAAAGCTTTGGAGGTGAAACCCCACATTACCCACACTACATAACCAAATCACAAGCCATGCGCCCACAGCGACATAAAAAGCAAAAACGTGGATTGCCGGACGCGTCGCCCGGCCTCTGGATCGTAAGACCCCTTGGCCCGGCTCGCCTGCGCCTGCGCCCGAACCTGAGCAGACGGATTCACAATGATTGACCCTTTTTTAGGAACCCAGCGGGCCCAATACCCCTTAAAAAAGGAATATAGCGTAAATCTTAATATGAAGCCCCCCTCTTGAGGCGTTTCTCGTTTCGGGCAAAGAAAGGCAGATCCAAGCTTTGGGTTCGAGCAGGCTGGGGATCACAGTAATCGTGGAGAGCAAAATCCGCATCAGCATGATCAGCAACCTCATGACGATAGTCATGGCGTCGATGGCTTTAACATACCCTCATCATCATCATAGTCCCCATCATCGCCGTCACCATCATCGTCATCATCAGTATCATGATGGCAGGGTAAGGGTGCGGTCGTCGTGCTGCCAGTGGTGTTAGCATTGTCCAAAGCAGCGATGCCGATTGCAGTCATAGCGGTGCTAATCGGAAGCAGGCCCGACAACTAGGCATGGATGAAATGTGAATCATTCCGGGTAGTTTGCGCGTGGAAACGTCCAGACACTTGCCGGCAACTGCCACCTGACGCAAAAGAAGGAAAAGACACGAGAAGGAGTGATCAACAACTACCCACTTGACAATGCTAGGTGCTACAGGTCCGGGCTACCTCACCTTGCTTATTCCAGACTTGTATCGTCGCCACCCACACAGGGTCTGGCATGTAGCATTTCGGGTTAGTCGGCACTCACAGTCCTCTCAATGTAGTAAGACTACTGAGGCCCGGCACCACCAGCTCGTGCTTGCTAAAGTCGAAGACGAGGTGGTTCATCGGCCAAGCCTCTTGTGGAGGTGGGCGCGATGTCCGAGTACTATGGGTGCTTGTGCTGCTGTCTTGCAGTGGTTACAAGAACTTGCAGCAGAACTCGTCCTTCTCGACTCCACCGCCGCGCCTGCACCGAGATGTCCTCTGAGCGGAAGACATTCGACTGGTCGTCCTCCCGATAAACATTTAAACGGCAGTAGACTCTGGCGTG